GAGAGTGAAGAGAACAACGAACAGAGATGAAGAGGGAGAGAAGCGGAGACGAAGAGAGAGAAGCACAGAGAGAGTGACGAAGACGATGACGATCGAGAAAGTGACGAAAACGATCGAGAGAGTGACGAAGACGATCGCGAGAGTGACGAAGAAGATCAAAGCCCTTTCTCCTCTCATGTCGACGTCGAAGGTTAGGGTTTCTCTCTCTCTCACTCTCTCTCCCCTTTACGATCCCATCTTGGACTGAATCGCGTTTCTCTCTCCACAGCAACGTGATTCTTGCACGTTTCTTTCTAGGGATCGCGGAATCGCGATTCTTACTGAGAATCGCCACCTAGTTGCACGATACGATTCCTGCAACTAAGATTTGAACTATAGCGTGACATTTTTTCCTAATCATTGTCTTTTTCATGACCTTGTCACGAGAACAATTGGCAGTGATAGTGCAGAAAATTATCTCTATTTCTTAGATTAGCCGAACTAGCTTTACTCATCATTCCATCCAGTTCCCAACCACCAAGGAGGATTATGACTGTGGCATCGGCGCCTTGGGCATCCTTTTTTTTCATTTACTTAGGCATTTATTTTCGTCTGTTTTTACAAACAATAATGGGTTCGTTTGGTTTGAATTTCCCAAAAATTTTTGGGAAAATTTCTCTACAAATGAGTTTTCAGAAAAACTCAAACCAAACAAATTTTTCTAAAAAAATTTCCTAAAACTTGTAAACCAAACAAGTTTTCCAAACAAATCTCTCTCTCATACACATCAAATCATTCACTTTTTCCAAAACTCTCTCTCAAAATAATTTTCCAAAACATCTTTCCAAAAAAACCAAACCAAACAACTTTTCGTACTTTTTATCTCCCAAACTCATCTCCCAAAATCAAACCAAACAAGCCCAATGTGTCTGAATTTTTTTGTGAGTCATGTCAACTTGGCAAACAACACTAAACTTCTTTTGCTCCAAGTCTTAATAAAAATTTAGCCCCTTTTTCTTTAATACATTCTGATGTGTGGGATCCATCTCGTGTTGTGTCTTTAAAAGGTCATAGAAGGTTTGTGACCTTTATCAATGATTTTTCTCGTACTACTTGGGTTTATCTCATGAAAGAAAAAAGTGAGGCTTTCTCTATGTTTCAAAATTTTCATAAAATAATTTGTACTCACTTTGAGGCAATTGTCAAAATCTTGCGTTCTAATAATGGGGGTGAATACATCGATTTGGGCTTAGAGAACTATTTTTCCACTCATGGCATTATACATTAGACATCTTGTACCAATACCCCTCAACAAAATGGAGTTGCAGAGCGCAAGAATCGTCATCTTCTTGATATGGCTCACTACATGTATTTTTCTATGAGTGTGCCTTGGTCCTACTGAGGCGAGGTCGTTCTCACCGTAGCCTATCTCATTAATCATCTTCCTACTCAGGTTTTGCAAAAACAAGCTCCACTTCAAGTCCTCGGTTCAGAGTCTTTGTTTTCCACTCCCCCTAAAATATTTGGTTGTGTCTGTTTTGTCCACAATCATTCTTCTACTTGTGGTAAGTTAGACCCTCGCTTTCTCAAGGGTGTTTTTCTCGGCCTACTCAAAAGGGGTATAAATGTTATCACCCTCATAAATGATTTGTATCCATGGATGTCACCTTCTTTGAATCTCAGTCCTACTTCTTTCTTCTCCGGTGTCACAGTTATCCCTTCAGGAGGAGCCTTGGTGTGAATAGATTTATGTTGTCCCTGTTGCTCTTATGGTGGAACCAGTTGTTCCTGCACCACCTATTACTGGGACTAGAGAATCCAATGCCAGGGAGCTTCTATATACACACACCTAATTAATTTTATTACAATTTTATCCCTAAGTGAAATTACTATTTTAGACACCATTGTTAATTGAAAACATCTCAATGCACACCTCAGAGTTCACATCTGTTGCATCGTGTGTGTAGCTTGTTCCACTGGTTTGGCATGCTTATTTGAAAATGAAAGGAGAACCAGTGAACCATTGAGGATTGAGAACCAGTGTCATTCATAGCTTCTTCCAAGTTCATTGAGCTAGAAGTGAAACCAAAGGGCTTTGGCATTTCCGTAGGGAAAACATCATTGTTATAGAGGATTTGCCTTGTGAAAATCAACATATAAGTGTTCGTGTGAAGCAGAGCGAAGGAAATGTGAGTTTAATTTTTTTTTTCCAGCGTCGTTCGGATAACCAGAGCCGAATTGTGTTATTTGATTCGGAAATCTACTACCGAAATAATCATGTATTTTCGGAAGTTGATGTCCGAACAAAGTAATAAATTTCGGAAGTTGTTGTCCGAACAATGTATTTAAATTCGGAAGTTGTTGTCCGAACAAAGTTAACTTTTACAACATTCAACTTCCGAATTTTGAAAAAAAAATTAGACAACTACTTCCGAATGAAGTAAAATTTTTTTTTTTCCATTTTATATTCTAAATTTGCAAACTGCATACCAAATTTACAGTTTCAAATTGCAAATTAATCTTTATAATGCCATTAAAAATTTGTAATGTTATACAAAACATGCAGGAATATGTGTCAACTCCAGGAAGTCAGGTTTGCGCAGATTTTGTGTTAGATTACACCACTCAATTCACAACTGAACAAGTTCAGTCTACGAAATTATAACGATTATGTTTCGAATTGCTCATGGATATGTCAAACAGCATGGTTCGGCCAAAAGAAATCCTAGTAACCTTGAAACAGCGAGATGCCCTCAATGTAAGCACACTTAAAACCATTTACAATGTACGCCATCGAAACAGGGTGGTACAGAGAGCTGGAAGATCAGAGATACAATGTACGCCATCAACGACCATTGTTACCATTCCATTCTAATAATAAAATGTCATTACAAAAGACGTGTATGCCTACGACTGTATGTCACGAATTAGCTGTATGCCTACGCCTAGGCCTACGACTGTATGTCAATGTCGAAGATAGAAAGTGACCTCCAGCAGAACTAGGTCCAACTTCGTCAATGTGCTGACCTTCAAGAACATGTGTCATACTCTCGATAGCCTGGTAAAGTCGATAAGGATGGCGAATCCCCTCCTGATAACCAGCGTCAATAATAGGATGTGAAATCTGCAGTGCATGTGCAATACGCTGCATTTGAAAAGAATATCACATTTTAGGGAACATAGGAACATATTAGAAAATAAAAAGTAAGTTACAAATGCATAAGAGAGGATAATATATTACATCGGCATGTTGGCTAAAATCCTGATGGTCATGGACACGCGGTTCATCAGTGTGCTCGACATATAGGTGCGTGATATTCTTATACCAATCCATGTAACCCGGTACACATTGCCAAGGCTGACGAACTGGTGTGCTCCTCCGTTGCTCAGATAACACGTGGTTATCCCAAGCCTCCCAGATCTTATCCAAGTATCTGTACATGACTCTATATCGTGCAGATATGTTGCCTCGCGCACCACGACTGGGAGCTAGCGGTGCATCTGGGATGGTTTGAACCCTGCCAAACTGCCTCAAAACTCTATCTGGATGATAGGGTTCGACAACGTCTAACCCTATCATGGATGCCGGTCTCTGCAGCTGTGGTATGGATCCCAAATAATCTGTAAACGTAAAGTGTTTTTGCATTGAAGTACATAAAGGGTAAGATAAATGGAAGTTTTAAAATTATCGCAGGATAAGTAAACTTACATCAGTAGCTACTAAACTGTCAAGCTCGGCTCGAAAAGATTTCAAATGGTCAATGGAGGAGGGTGGTACAGAGAGCTGGAAGATCACAAATGCAACACTTATTGGGTGAATTGGCCAAATATAATTACATTGAGCGCCATTGGTCTGAAGAGTCCACGGTGACTGTGACAGACTTGTTTTGGGCACATCCTACTAGGTAAACAACAGGAACCCTGCCGCCACTCTTGTCACTGAAGAGTGTACATCCCAACAGAAATAACAAATAAGCTCTAGCAGCGCATTGTATGGCCTCCTCGGGGTCTGAATCTGTGACACCAGCAAACTGACTTCGCAACCATTCAAGCCTGACTGAATTGCCACCAGCAGAAGAAACCTCTTCATGTGCTACACGTTCAGTAATCCCCAAGCCATAAATGAGTAATGTAACTCCATGATGATCTGTCACATCTGGTATGCTGATTGATTTGCCTACAATGGGAAGGCCAAGAATAGTGCCAACATCATCCAGGGTCAAGGTCATCTCACCAACTGTCATGTGAAATGTGTTCGTCTCAGGTTGCCATCTCTCAACAAAACATGAGACTAGAAGCTTGTTGACGAACCGATAAGTGCAACGAGCTAACTGTGACAGTCCAGACTGCTCAATAATGGCTTTGAATCTGGTGTTGTTCTCTACTAACCACCATGGCCATGCAAGGATCTTGGAAGAGTGATTATGACACTTTAGGGGCCCTCGTTCCTACAACACAAATGATATCTCATTACAAACTACCATACAACACACACATACACAAAAAAAAAAATTCATATACAAATGAAAAACTCATATACAAATGAATGTTTACCTCCCCGTGCCAAATAGCTGCAGCCACATGACTATTGAAACTCCGCAGTATTGACGGATCAGTCAGTCCACCTAGAAAAGCATGAGTAAGGTACTCTTCCTGGACAGGAGGAGAATCAGGTAAAAAGGTATCCTCCACAGCAATGTCAGGCATATCATAGCCTTCAACTCGTCTTTGGCTTCGGCCCCCACTTTGACTGGCACTGGGAATATCATATTCTACCGAAACTGGATCACGACCTCGACCAGACCTTGACCTCGTCCTCGCGCACGCCCTTGTCCCCGTTCACTTATTAATTTTACACACACTCTCATTAATTTTACACAAATTAATGAGATTACACTTATTAATAAATGATTACACACACTCATTAATTTTACACACACTCTCTCATTATAATTTAAAACACTTATTATTTACACACACACTCATTACACACTCTCATTAATTTTACACACACACACTTATAATTTAAAACACTCTCATTAATTTTACACACTCTGTTTATTTACGCACACTCATTACACACACTTAGTATTTTTTGCAGATAATATGGATTCTGAATATCAACAACGTGTCCCACCTACTGCTTCAAATAGACGACGTCGTGAATTGGATGTAGACCATGAACGGGGACAAAGGCGTGCGCGAGGACGAGGTCAAGGTCGTGGTCGAGGTCGTGATCCAGTTTCGGTAGAATATGATATTCCCAGTACCAGTCAAAGTGGGGGCCGAAGCCAAAGACGAGTTGAAGGTTATGATATGCCTGGCATTGCTGTGGAGGATACCTCTTTACCTGATTCTCCTCCTGTCCAGGAAGAGTACCTTACTCATGCTTTTCCAGGTGGACCGACTGATCCGTCAATACTGCGGAGTTTCAATAGTCATGTGGCTGCAGCTATTTGGCACGGGGAGGTAAACATTCATTTGTATATGAGTTTTTTTGTTTTTGTGTGTGTGTTGTATGGTAGTTTGTAATGAGATATCATTTGTGTTGTAGGAACGAGGGCCCCTAAAGTGTCATAATCACTCTTCCAAGATCCTTGCATGGCCATGGTGGTTAGTAGAGAACAACACCAGATTCAAAGCCATTATTGAGCAGTCTGGACTGTCACAATTAACTCGTTGCACTTATCGGTTCGTCAACAAGCTTCTAATCTCCAGTTTTGTTGAGAGATAGCAACCTGAGACGAACACATTTCACATGACAGTTGGTGAGATGACCTTGACCCTGGATGATGTTGGCACTATTCTTGGCCTTCCCATTGTAGGCAAATCAGTCAGCATACCAGATGTGACAGATCATCATGGAGTTACATTACTCATTTATGGCTTGGGGATTACTGAACGTGCAGCACATGAAGAGGTTTCTTCTGCTGGTGGCAATTCAGTCAGGCTTGAATGGTTGCGAAGTCAGTTTGCTGGTGTCACAGATTCAGACCCCGAGGAGGCTATACAGTGCGCTGCAAGAGCTTATTTATTGTTTCTGTTGGGATGTACACTCTTCAATGACAAGAGTGGCGGCAGGGTTCCCGTTGTTTACCTCGGCTTGTTGATGGATTTGGGATCCATACATACTTATGCCTGGGGTGCTGCTACATTAGCATTTTTATATAGACAGTTGGGGTTTGCTAGCCAGTCTGGGGTTAAGCAGATGGGTGGTTATATGACTCTTTTGGAAGCGTGGATTTATGAGCACTTCCGAGCATTCCGACCTCATCAGAACATGGGCTACAATGAAGGCATGCCACACGTGTACCATTGGGCATCTAGGAGAGAGGCGGGTTCCTCCATTGAATTCCACATATACCCCCAAATGTAAATCATACACACACACACCCCCTTTCACACACACACACCCGTCTGTCACCCCTCTCACAGACACACCTATCTGAGAACCCCTCACACACACACACCCATCTCTCACACTCTCCACCGTTCCTCCCCAAAAGCCCTTAAAGTGTCATAATCACTCTTCCAAGATCCTTGCATGGCCATGGTGGTTAGTAGAGAACAACACCAAATTCAAAGCCATTATTGAGCAGTCTGGACTGTCACAGTTAGCTCGTTGAACTTATCGGTTCGTCAACAAGCTAAACCATCCCAGATGCACCGCTAGCTCCCAGTCGTGGTGCGCGAGGCAACATATCTGCACGATATAGAGTCATGTACAGATACTTGGATAGGATCTGGGAGGCTTGGGATAACCACGTGTTATCTGAGCAACGGAAGAGCACACCAGTTCGTCAGCCTTGGCAATGTGTACCGGGTTACATGGATTGGTATAAGAATATCACGCACCTATATGTCGAGCACACTGATGAACCGCGTGTCCATGACCATCAGGATTTCAGCGACTATGCGGATGTAATCTATTATCCTCTCTTATGCATATGTAACTTACTTTTTTTTTTTTTCCTGATATGTTCCCTAAAATGTGATATTCTTTTCAAATGCAGCATATTGCACATGCACTGCAGATTTCACATCCTATTATTGACGCTGGTTATCAGGAGGGGATTCGCCATCCTTATCGACTTTACCAGGCTATCGAGAGTATGACACATGTTCTTGAAGGTCAGCACATTGACGAAGCTGGACCTAGTTCTGCTGGAGGTCGCTTTCTATCTTCGACATTGACATACAGTCGTAGGCCTAGGCGTAGGCATACAGCTGATTCGTGACATACAGTCGTAGGCATACACGTCTTTTGTAATGACATTGTAATGACATTTTATTATTAGAATGGAATGGTAACAATGGTCGTTGATGGCGTACATTGTATCTCTGATCTTCCAGCTCTCTGTACCACCCTGTTTCGATGGCGTACATTGTAAATGGTTTTAAGTGTGCTTACATTGAGGGCATCTCGCTGTTTCAAGGTTACTAGGATTTCTTTTGGCCGAACCATGCTCTTTGACATATCCATGAGCAATTCAAAACATAATCGTTATAATTTCGTAGACTGAACCTGTTCAGTTGTGAATTGAGTGGTGTAATCTAACACAAAATCCGCGGAAACCTGACTTCCTTGAGTTAACACATATTCCTGCATGTTTTGTATAACATTACAAATTTTTAATGGCATTATAAAGATTAATTTGCAATTTGAAACTGTAAATTTGGTATGCAGTTTGCAAATTTGGAATATAAAATGGAAAAAAAAAAATTTACTTCATTCGGAAGTAGTTGTCCGAATTTTTTTTCAAAATTCGGAAGTTGAACGTTGTAAAAGTTAACTTTGTTCGGACAACAACTTCCGAATTTAAATACATTGTTCGGACAACAACTTCCGAAATTTATTACTTTGTTCGGACATCAACTTCCGAAAATACATGATTATTTCGGTAGTAGCTTTCCGAATCAAATAACACAATTCGGCTCTGGTTATCTGAACGACGCTGGAAAAAAAAAAAAAAAATTAAACTCACATTTCCTTCGCTCTGCTTCACATGAACACTTATATGTTGATTTTCAGAAGGCAAATCCTCCATAACAATGATGTTTTCCCTACGGAAATGCCAAAGCCCTTTGGTTTCACTTCTAGCTCAATGAACTTGGAAGAAGCAATGAATGACACTGGTTCACTGGTTCTCCTTCCATTTTCAAATAAGCATGCCAAACCAGTGGAACAAGCTACACACACGATGCAATAGATGTGAACTCTGAGGTGTGCATTGAGATGTTTTCAATTAACAATGGTGTCTAAAATAGTAATTTCACTTAGGGATAAAATTGTAATAAAATTAAATATCATTAAGTGTGTGTATTGAGGGGATTAGGTGTGTGTATATAGAAGCTCCCGTGTGTGTGTGAGGGGTGACAGACGGGTGTGTGTGTGTGTGATTTACATTTTGGGGTATATGTGGAATGATAGGTGTGTGTAGTGAGTCAAATATATTAGGATTTATTTTTTTAGTGTGTATTGAGAAGGATTTGTATAGAGAGGAAAGGGTATGTGTATATAGAAGCTCCCTCAATGCCACCAAGGACACGGAAGGGCAAGTTTATGTCAGGGGCAAAGACAGACAAAAAGTTACTTTGATATAAGAGACCATTTCTACTCACCCGCTGCCATCTCTTGCTTTTGATAAGAGTCCAGGTAACTTTGAACCTCTTGTTTCTCTTGAGTCTACTGATATTACTATTCCTGACACTACTGATCTTGATATTCCTATTGCCAAGAGAAATGGTGTGAGATTTTGTATTCAACATCCTATTTCAAACTTTGTGTCCTACTCTCATTTGTCTTCCTCTTATAGAGCCTTTGTGTCAAATATTTCCTCTATTAGTATTCCTAACCATTTTCAGGATGCTCTCGCTACCTCTTAATGGAAACTTATCATGATTGAAGAAATGAAAGCACTTCGTAAGAATGGCACTTGGGAATTAACTAAAGCCAAGTTTGGCATGTGTCCAAAAAGTTACTCAAAAAGTCAAAAAGTTATCACTATACACCAAAAGTCAAAAAGTACAGTTGCACAACTCCCAATCCTAATTTTTCCCTATACCTACACACTAATTCATATAATTTTTTAATACACATTTTTCCATAAAAAAGTCAAAAAGTTAACCCAAACACCCATATTTTTTTCCTCAACTTTTTAGTCCAAAAAGTCAAAAAGTGCACTTATTTAGAACATCCCAAACAACCCCTAAGTTACCTAAGGGCAAACTACTAGTGGGATGCAAATGGGTGTATACTATGAAGCACAAAGCAGATAGTTCCATTGAGTGTTACAAGGCTCGACTTATGGAAAAAGGCGCCACTCAGACTTATGGAGTAGACTATCAGAAGACTTTTGCACCAATGGCTAAGATGAATTCAGTCAGAATACTTTTCTCTCTAGTGGCTAATTTAGATTGGTCACTTCATCAGTTATATAAAGAATGCTTTCTTACATGGTGATCTAGAAGAAGAGATATATATGGACATTCCTCCTAATTTTGAGGATCATCAGACAGAGGGTAAAGTATGCAGGCTTCGAAAATTGTTATATAGTCTCAAACAATCTCCAAGGGCTTGGTTTGAGAAATTCACTCAGGCTATGCTTAAATATGGTTTCAAACAGAGTTAGGCAGATCACACTTTGTTTGTGAAGCATTCCTCACGTGGTAAGTCTACAACTCTCATTGTTTATGTGGATAACATAGTGCTTACAGGCGATGATAGTGAGGAAATAACCCTGTTGAAGAAATATTTAGCTAATGAGTTTGAAATTAAAGACTTGGGAAACTTGAAGTATTTTTTGAGAATTGAAGTTGCTTGCTCCAAGAATGGGATTTTTATCTAACAAACGAAATATGTTCTTGACCTTTTGAAGGATACAAGGATGCTTGGATGCAAGGCTTGTGATACCCACTGAAACCTAATCAGAAACTTGGTGATGATGAAGGAGGAACAACTGTTGATACGGGAAGTTATCAGCGACTAGTGGGTAAGCTCATTTACTTATCTCACTCATCATGATATTGTTATTGCTGTTAGTATGGTTAGCCAATTTATGCATGCTCCTCATCAAATTCACTTAAAGGCTACTATGAGAATTCTGAGGTACTTAAAATCTTCTCCTGAGAAGGGCCTTTACTTTTCCAAACATGATCACCTCAGAGTGGAAGCCTATACAAATACTGATTGGGCAGGGTCAATAATTGATAGGAACCTTTGTGGGAGGCAATCTTGTTACTTAGAGGAGTAAGAAACAGAATGTGGTGGCTAGATCAAATGCAGAAGCTGAGTTTAGAGCTATGGCACAAGATGCGTGTGAACTCTTGTGGATCAAACTGTTGTTGAGTGGTCTAGGGATGAGCCAGACAGACTCCATGCAACTATATTGTGATAATAAGGTTGCCATCAACATAGTTCACAATCATGTTCAACATGACAGGATAAAACATGTTGAGATTGATTTCTACTTCATCAAGGAGACACTCACCAGCGGCATGGTGAGCATTTGAAGGGTGTAATGACATCATGCACCTCTTGCCTGCAATTCCTTGAGAAACTGCCACATGCAATGGTTACTTAAAGGGCATATGCATGTTACTTGCTTTCTAGGTAAATAATGAATATGATTTAAAAAAAGGGGAAATTCCCAATAAGTTACTTTTTCCATAAAAGTACTATTGAATCCTATTAACATATGATTCAGCCCTATCAACACAGTGTTGTTAATATGAGTTAGTGGTTTACTTTTATGGGAAGCGCAGGACTTTATTGACAGTTTCCATTAAAAAAAATGGAAGATCCTTGTAGTATATATTGCAAAACAAGCAACAAACCTCACTTTGCTGATTAACAAGTACAAACATTTTTTTTTTTTTTGGTACAGAGAGGGCTCACATCCAGGGACTACAAGAAAATCACACGAGATTGACCCATATCCCCATGTCCTGCTATAGCAAGGAGTTAATGGTCTCCAGAAACATCACCTGAAAGAGTTCTAGTTAATCCCAAAACATGTAATAGAATCTCATCTTGCTGACTGACAAGTCAAAACTTTTGAAGGAAAAAAAGTAACAGATACGCCATCTATATAGCAAATAAATTAGTTGAAGACTTAATGACCTAACACTAAGAGATTCCCCAAGTGCAAAGCCAGTGCAATGTAATTTAAACACTGTTAGTTGTTTTTGTAAATTTCTTCATCAGGCCTAAATTGTACAAAAAGAGGTTGCAAATTAAGAAGGTGCAACTGCCACACAAATGTAAGAGCACATATTTTTGGAAGAGTGTCTAAACAACCCTTGGGTTGATCTAGAGAAAGCATTGAAAGAAAGAAGACAATATGTACTAGTTCAATGATTAAGTTATCAAGTCAAAAGGATTTACCAAAGAAGTATTGAGCCCAAAGAAATTGCTAGATTAATACCCTAAATCAAATAAATAGTCAAACCCAACCCAACTAAGCTTTGTGTACCAATCAAGTGGGATCAACTAACCCTCAATTAAATAAATAAATAAAAAGACAACATGCCAAATTGAAGTACCATCCTGATGTGAAAAAGTTCACCCTATCTTAGCTTGAGTGGTATCTCCTGTCACCTCCAAAGCAGGATGGACAGGGTTCAAGTTCCGATAGGACACATGTCTTACTCATTTACTAGATAAATCAGTATATAATCATGCATACCCTTTATACATATCACTTTGTTCAGATCTTGCCATATCTATTTCTATCCCAAGAAAAAGACCCATTCTCAAAACAGATACAAATTCACTGATACTTGAACAATATAAGGGATCCAAACTGAACAAACATCACACACACATACATATAACAGAGAGAGATAGAGAGAGATTACCTAGAGATTGGACCTGATAAGAGAGGAAAAGAATGGAATGTACAAGGACAAGGAGAAGAAGATGATGTCTCTGAAGAAAACCCATTTGCAATTGAATCAGATTACAGTCTAAAGAAATATAGTGATATCCTTCAAGAACTTCATACACAACAAATATCATAAATAGAGACGAAGGCAGAGGAGAGAAGGCAGAGGAGACGGAGGCAGAGACGATGACGATGGCGATCAACAAGGAGAGGATCTGTGAGAGAGAGAGAGAAAGACGATCTGCCACAGAGAGAGACGAACTCGACAGACGAAAAACACAGAGAGAGAGAGACGACCTTCGAAGTGATGAAAGAAGAAGAAAAACGAAGCAAAGGACATACCAGACACAATCAGGTTCTTCTTCACCTTCTTTCTCCTCTCTCTTTGTTGACCAACAAGCTAGGGTTTTTGTTCTTCTTCACCAACGTTCCCATCTTGGACGGGATCGCGTTTCTCTCTCTACAGAAACACGATTCCTACACGTTTCTTTCTAAGAAACGTGAAATCGCGTTTCTTACGAAGATTCGTGACCTGTTACCACGATTCCTGCAACTAAGAGTGGGATCAACTAACCCTCAATTAAATAAATAAATAAAAAGACAACATGCCAAATTGAAGTACCATCCTGATGTGAAAAAGTTCACCCTATCTTAGCTTGAGTGGTATCTCCTGTCACCTCCAAAGGAGGATGGACAGGGTTCAAGTTCTGATAGGACACGTCTTACTCATTTGCAGAAAAGTAAAAAAAATATATATATATATATCATCGTATAAAAAGGAGTTCCATACCATGTTCTTGCATTTAAAACGCCCAGTAGGTAGAAGAATAGAATTTTTCCCGGCTTTTGATGAAAGAGGTAAGCGAAAGCAGCGATTTCTAGAATAGACAGCAGTATCCACAAAAAGCTGGCAAGGGCTACCAGCAGAGCCTGAGTCTTTTGAAACAAGCAATTTTTCCAATCTGCCATCACTCTCCCTTGCACTACAGATCCTTGAACATACCTGTCAATATGACTTTAAACAGTGACAGCTGTTGATATTTCTAAAAAAGAAAAAAAAAGAAGAAAAGTTCTAGCAACCGAAGCAGCATTATTTTCTCCAAGGCAATAAAAGGACAATGTCTATAATTGCCAATATACATAGGATGATTTCACAAATCTGATTCAGAGGAGATTAACAATAATTGTGATCAATTCAAATCACAATACATATCTAATTGATATTAGTTCTGAATAATAAACAATAAAAAAAATTTTAAAAAAGGACAGGGAGTCAATTCCCACATCTTCTTTGAAGTTGAATATAGGAATCTAGTTAAGACACACCTCAGCAACAAATGCACCAGCATGTGAATTGTCCTTAAAAGCAGTCTTCTGTAAGCGGATTATTAAATGACGCGAAAATTTTTCTGTCAAAATGCATTGTCATAGGAATCAATAAAAAAAAGTGAAGGTTCTATTTGAATATCAAAGGGAAACAGCATTCCTATGTTCAAGGCAAACAGGTATAATATTACTATTACAATTATCTGAAACCATGTTGTTTCTTTCTCACACACACAGAGATCTGCACACCCTGCACATGCACACCCAAACCCACACATGAAGCTTAGTAGGCCGACTCCTTATTAAACTGACCTTGATCACGTGGTGTTAGCCTGCCAGCCTGACTTAGTTGCTTAGTCATACAATTGTTGGATATTTTGTATTTCAAAATAAATAATTAAATAAATATTCCTTTTATGGATTGCATATCACACTCTCTTTTCAAGAACATTGCACATAACAAGTTATGGATTGCATATCACACAGCCACTAAAAATATCATACCTTCAGTAGAAGAATCAAGTTCTACAATCCAGTCATGTTCTCCTTGAATAGAGTACTTATCAAATAAGACATTGAAGACAACCGATATCAGGAGATCAACCATCTCATCTCCATTCTTTTCAGCATTGTCTCTCTTATTGAACTCCAAATCGAAATAAAGGTGGCATGGCAATCCCTGATGGAAACTCATATTCATCATCCAGAAGAGGAGGAGGAGGGGGGTTGGAAGAGAGAGAGAGAATATTACAACCAAGGTCTCACACAAACTATAGTATTTTTCTAGAAACGACAATATAATAAAAGAATTTTGACCAGCTTCAGCTCACAAAAAGCTCAATGGTAATTAGGATATCACAAAACTAAGAGATAAGCCATAGAAACAAAATATATGTTTGACAATAGACAACAGTGTCATACTAACAAGCTAGTTTGTTATCTTAGGCACGTCATTTGTATCAAAATAGAGATTAATATCCCCTACTTTTCCCATTTAACAAATAAACAGGCTTAAACCCCAAACATTGAGCTTGTTGCCCAATAAAACCATGCCTTCAACTCAGCAAACTACTAAATTAACTATTTTCAAATCAAACCAACATCATATGGTGAATAGTAAACCAATCTGCCAACTGGCTGGTTGCCATTGGTTTCCATTTAATACCCAAAGTAGTCAGAGTGGGTCAATAGAAAAATTACAACCACTAAGTGTGCCACTACAGAAAATTTAGTTTCTTTCTGGCTTGGAGACATCATATTGCATAACTCCAACCATTAAATTCAATAAAGGGCATGAGAGAGTAGCAGATACAAAGCGCTTAAGGACATTTGAGGAAGTTAAAATATGTAAAACCAAGGAACTCCAATTCGAATATAGTCTCTGTTCTGACAATATGTATGTATTTGTGCCTGCTTTTACTCATATCTACAGAAAAATGGCAATGTGTTACCTCCTGAATCACTTCATAATGGTGGCGGAATCTAGGATTCATGTTTTTGTACCTAAAATTAAAAGGACCAGCACAAACATGAACTTTTAAAAGTAATGATAGCATAATGAATATCATCAAGGAATTCTAACAAAACAAAGTTGGCAAAGAAAACCTCCGCCAAAACTCTTCATATGTTGAAACAAGGAACCTCCTTTGTCCATTCATATGATCTTGGTAACTGAAAACATAAACATGTGCATGCTCTTTTGCGTACTTTATGGCCTCGTCTTGCCTAGGGAATGTAGCCCATACTTGCTCTCTAGACAAAAATAAAACTATAGTTAAGCCAACAAAGAAAAAGAGTGTAGGATTCAAGAAATCCAACTAAGGCCACAACCATAAAAGAAGATAATAATAATAATGACAGAAGCAGAATCACAAGAAAATGAACAAGTACCTTAGTTTTTTCTGTTCAGCAAGATCAACATGTATTTCACGTAACAATCGCAACAAATGAGATGGTCTCTTTGGAGGCACGCCATGCGGAGAACCATAGAATATGACTGGAGAGAGATGCTTCCTTTTGTTGAAGTTGTTTGTTTTAACTGTGGTTGAACCAAACTGAAAAAATAATGATATGTAGCTTAGTTAATAACTGCAGAAACTACATATAAGACATGGCATTTGTAATGAATGAACAACAAACAATAGCTGCCATCATCTGTGTGCACAACAAGGGACTTAACAAGAGAGGGCAAGGTTTTTTTAAATGTTGCAGTACATACATTCTGCATATGGAGCTGCACATCTGTTGCATGCTGTTGTCTTTTTTGTGGCGATCCCATAGGTGGAGTATCAGAATACTCAGACAACTCTTTTGTTGGACGGACTTGCTTCAATTTGTGTTTGTTTGATTTTCTTTCTCTAATAGCTGACTCTGAAACACACAGAAAATAACAGTAATGTCTCAAAATCAAAACATGTAAACATGCAAGGAAACAACTCTCATATTTACCGAAAAGCACAAATTTATACAGTGTACCCCCCTCAAATATGGGCCATTGTTACTTTACCCCTTTCAACTAAAAATTGCTACATTTGCCCCCCTAATCTTCTGAATTGTTTCAATATCAGCCTTTTGTTAACATTCTGTTATGAATAAAAATGAAAAAGTGACATATCAGTTGCATACCAATTTAATGACAACAAATATTGATTCAAGAGGCGCATTTTTGTACATATATTGAAGAGATATGTACATATTTTCCTATTTTTCTCACATATTGTCTTCATAGGAGAGGAGAAATATATGCATATCTTTCACATATACTAAAGATATCAGCTCTTGAATGACCATTTTGGACATAAAATTAGAATGGGCAGCTTACATGCCAATTTTTCCTCCTATTTCATAACAGAATGTTGAAGGTTGAGAACAAAACAAATCAAAAGATCAAGAGGCAAAAAAAGTAACGACTTTTAGTTAAGGGGGGCAAATTGAGAACAGCCCATAATTGAGAGGGGTAAAGTGCCCAATAAATAATTTCATTTCATTCCTTGCCAAAAGTTCAAAATCACCCTAGCACTTCAGGATCGAATTCGACGCAAAGCCTAAGTTGGGGTTGCAAAGACTTTCACTCAAATGTAATGCATTATGTCTCCTAGGCAGCTCACAGATAGACTAGAAACGACATCAGTTATGTCAAAGACACCAAATTTGACAAAGAAGTTTAACATTTAACTCCCCAAGTTGGACAAGGGATACCCCACAATTATTAAAGCCACAAACAAGTAGAAGTAAAACAATTAATTAATGCCAAATGTTGGAGGCTTATTGTTATTACACATGCTTGCTACATTGGCTCAGTAAAATCCTAACAATGATGCAAGAGCACATACAAGAAGGTTAATATGGTAAAAGCTGAGACCTTTTTGAGTAAATGATGTACTGACTACCGAACCAGCAATGCAATGCATGCACATATAAATACAGACATCTGTATGCCATATTTACACACGAGGACATTAATTAATTGATAATTTTAGAGAATACCAAGATTAGGGAATGATTGTGATATCATCCCCTTTTTATATTAATAAAGATTAATAATTAAAAAGGAGCCCTAAGGCATAGAATATAAATTGAATAATAAACCAACTAATAATATACTATTCTAACATTAATTACTCAAATTTGAACTTGGAGCTGTCATTAACAAATTTTGAGACAATGAAATGTAAAATTATTTTTTTGGAAAAGCAGTCCAAATCAAAACCCTAGTCGGAAGTTAGATAGTATAGGCAAAGATGAATATATATGCGGATGAGATTGATATATGTAATGAGGGAAAATTCTACCATATATGTAATAGTTGAATTAGTTCTAAACAATCATCTAAAATACTTTTATCTGCAAAACGCCGACATATGTATTCAAATAAATTGTGAGTAATATTTTGTGATTATATTGTGAAAAATGTGATTCCAACCAGGATTGAACTTCATTTTACTGGTTCAGTCTAATTTGGTTATAAGATTTTTATGATTTGATTTCAAATTTCATGAATCCGTAGGTAGTTTGGTCATTTGGTCATTGGTTTACTCTTAAATCAACCAAATCGAATTATGCTCACTTTTAATAGGACAACTAAAAACTTAATGTGACTCTATTTACCATTTGTTGTGAGTTTATTTACTACTAAATATAATAAATCTCATAAGTTTAATATAATTACACCGATCTCTCATTTAGGAAGGTTAAAACAATTGTAATTAATGTAGATTGTAGGTAAACACAAGAATGAAAAAGGATAAAATAATATTTCAATATTAAAGAAATATCATCAATTTTTTTGTTCATACAACTAACAAATAGTCATAAATAAATGAACTAAGATCTTTTTTGTCATAATTTAAAAAAGTCAAAAAGTCACTATCCTATTTAAGTCACGTCATTTTATTTAAATCACATCACTTCTCTATCACATCCATTCAAAACCAACCCATACCCAACATATATTTCATAAAAAGTCAAAAAACACACTTATTTTCATTCCAAACCATCCCTTAGCAAATTAAATTTTGAAAGAAGTCTAATACAATTATGCCAAATTTTATAAAACTCAATCTATTTTTTAAATCTGATCCAAAAAAAAAATCTATTTTTTAAATCCTTAAAAAGATTGGTGTAACTTTTTTCTTTCTGTATTTTGAAACAATTTGATATAAAACCCATTGCATAAAAGGTGACTCCTTATTCTTGAAAAAAAGAGAAAAGAAAAAAGTCACCCTTGCAAATCCGGGGATTTCCGGTGGGTAAAGTGGGTTGAGAGTGATATTCCGGTACAAGAAAACCATTTTTCTGTGTTGGATTGGACCCATGTAATGAGAGAGAGAGAGGGAGAGAGAACATTACGAGGAGGAGAGACGCCGCATTTGAAGCACTGGAACAATCGATCGACGTCGTCCATCTCTTCAAAATCTTTTCCCTCCTGTATTTTCCCCAAATACACAGATGATGATCCCCTGCTGGTTCTGGGTCTTTTTATTAGATTTTTTTTTTTATCGCGCGGAAACTGATTTTAGGAAGATACCAAATTGAATCGGGGCTCAGACACATTTGCTCAGATCGTAACGATGTCGTTTAGATAGTCCAACCAATCTGCATGATTCAGGTTTTTGGAAAGTAAATTAAAAATTAGTTTTTTAGATTTTTTAGTTGTTTTTTTGTTTTTTTTTTTTTTGTTGAGAAAATGTGTAAAAATAAAGAGAAAGAGTTGCCAAAATGGGCCTCAGATTGGTTGGTTTTAAGAGTTCATAAAATTTGAAATCCATCAAATTAAGGAGTTGTTTAGAATGATCTAAATAAATGTATTTTTTAAATTTTTTTGAAATATGAATTGAGTATGGATTGGGTTTGAAGTGATATGATAGAGAGATGATGAGACTTAGACCAAGTTTGACAACTCTCAAAAAAGACAAAAAACTAAAAAATTACTCAAAAAGTTAAAAAGTTATCACTATTCATTAAAAGTCAAAAATTATGACTGCACAACTCACAATCCTAATTTTTCCCTATATATTAATTTATACAATTTTTTAATGCACATTTTTTTATAAAAAGTCAAAAAATTAACCCAAGCATCCATATTTTTTTCTTCAATTTTTTAGTCCAAAAAGATAAAAAGTACACTTATTTAGAACACCACAAACAACCTCTTAAATAAGATAGTGACTTTTTTACCTTTTTAGGTTATAACAAATAAGACCTAAATTAGATCAGTCAAATGTGATTCAGTTTGATTTGGAATTATAGGATACGTTTGGTTTGTATTTTGAAACATATTTTTTGAATAAGATTTCCAAAAACATGTTCAGTTATAAATTTTCTCAAAAAAATTTCTAAATGCTTCTCCTTATATTATACACCAATCAATCACTTTTTCTCTCTCTTCTCTCCTTCTCAATCACTTTTTCTCTCACACACATCCACTCAAGTACAACAAAATATCAAATCATTCCAAACTCCAAAATTATTTTCAAAATATACAACCAAACAAACCAAAAAAAAATTAGGGAGAGTTTAAAAAAAAAATTAGTTTGTTTGATTGTATATTTTGAAAATAATTTTAAAGTTGAGATAATTTGATATTTTGTTGTAGTTGAGTAGATGTGTGTGAGAAATAAAAAATGATTGAGAATGAAAGAGGAGAAAGAAAAGTGATTAATTAGTGTATATGAGAGACAAAGTGATTTTAGAAAAAAATTTCAAAAAATTTGAACCAAACTAAATTTTAAAAAAAAAATCAAAAATTATATATTAAAATACAAACCAAACAAGCCTTTTGCCTTCATTTACAATATAATAACAAAATATTATTTGCAACTTCAGAATTATTTAGATGATTATTTAGAGGTGGTTTGGGATGTTCTAAATAAGTGTACTTTTTGACTTTTTATGAAATATGGGTTGTAAATGGGTTGAGTTTTAAGTGATGTGGTAGAGATGTAATATAACTTAAATAAGGTGATGTAACTTAAATAGGATAGTGGCTTTTTAACTTTTTAACTTTTTTAATATATGTCAAAAAAGGTCTTAAAATTAAATTATCCCACTGTAAAAGAATATGCCTTGCAAAAGTGGATTTGAAGTCACTATTGGCCCCGTTTGGTATAGCCATTAAAACAGTTTATAGATTATACCTTAACAGATTATAGATTATGACTTTAATCAGAAGTTGTTAATCTGTTTGGTGTAGCTGTTGGATTATAGTTGAGTTGCTGAGCAGTGTTTGTTAAATAAGCTGTAAAATAGCTTTTTTCAATTAATTTTTATTTTTTGTTTGTCTACATTTCTCATAAAAAATAATAATAATAATCTATAGTCCATTTGGGTCTTTTTCTATTTTTAAAAAAATAAAAAATAAAAAAATTTAAGAGTATAACCATAAATTAACATGTCCACAGCAGAAGCTGATAATCAGAAGCAAGGGGTAAGCAGCTTCTCAGAATCGGCTTTTTTGAGTTAAAATAAGCTGTTAGAATCAGAAGCTGTTTGAAATAAGTGTAACTAAACAGTCCAAAATAACTTTTTCAAAACTAAAAACCATAAGTTAGCTCTAAAAAGCTGCAACAAATACCCCCATTGTACTTGATGTACATCAATGATTGTTGTGCAGCTCTTGAGGCTTGTTTTGAATATTATTTTGATAATTTGAATTGTTAAATTTTAAATAATATTGAGAAAAATATACTTATAAAAAAATCAAATTAATTGAATATCGATAACCCCTTCATCAAATCACATTTATATTCAATTTTATATATGTACATATTTTTTTATATACAGATGTGCTTTGATGAAGATATTATCGATATCCGATTAATTTGATTTGTTATACATACATTCTTTTCAATATTTTTTAAAATTTGAACGATTTAGATCATTGAAATAAGAATTAAAACAAATCTCATAAACCGTATAACAATCATTTGTGCATCAAGCCCAACAGTAACATCATATCTTATAAAAGTAGAGGTTACAACTTATTTATATATTTTATACTAAAATAAGATATTTGAGTCTTTACTATAATAACAAAATTATATGCATCAATATTATTATATGTGAACATTTTTGTGTAGTGTTACAGTTAAAAAAAATTTCCAAAATACCCATGTGTAAAATAGCTTTTTTTCTGTGTGTGTGTTTTTTTTGTTTTTTTTTTAATAAAAAAAGGAGTAAATATGTAAATAGCAAGTTAATGCCATGTTAAAAAAAATAAATAAAAACTATTTACCATTTCAACAGTGAATCCCTTCTCCATTTCAAAAATAAATAAATAACACACATCACGCGTGTGACTTAAATGCTAGTAAGGCCTAGTTTGGAAAGACTAAATAAGTGTACTTTTTGACTTTTTTTGTATTATGTGTAGGAAAAGTAGAGAGGAGATGTTGATTGATGTGACCCAAAAAAGATAAAAAGATGAAATAAGTGCACTTTTTTCTTTGTACCCAAACTTGACCTAAATACATGTTTATCTATACCATGAGGTGTTCTGGCAACAAGTTAAAAGTCAACATTTAACTCATTTTGGATCACATTACTTCTCACATGAAACAATTAAAAAAGTTAAAAAGTCAATTTTTAACCATTATCTATATATATATAAGTAAATGCAATGTTCTCTCAAAACATTCCAAAAATCTATTCCTAAAGGGGGAATTGCATACAGGTGAGAGATAAAAAAAAAATTATAAATACACGAGAAGTGTAAGTGTGTCTGTGATACGGTGTAAATGAAAAATTATGGGGTATAAATGTCACTTGCATCCCTATGTGCTGGTAATTTTCTTTTTTTTTTTTCCTTTTTCTCACCTACATGTAATTCCCCCATTCCTAAATTCTCATAATTTTAAAACTTTTTCTTTCCTACATGTCAACCATCTTTAATTGTCTTTCATGTTTTCATTTTCCCTTCATTTTCTAATTGTTTGATTAATTGAAATGAAAATTAATTTCATGACTTATAAATAAATATTTGAATTTTAAAGTTCCTCCCTATAGATAAACATATAAAAACTGATAAATAATTTATAAAAAATAATTTCACGGCTTACAAATAAAAATTAAATAATTAGTTTAAAAAAAATTAATTTCATGGCTTATAGATAAAGTTTTGAATTTCAAAGTTCCTCCATATAGATAAACATATAAAAACTGATAAATAATTTATAGAAATTAATTCCATGGCCTACAGATAACTATAAAGATTAAATACTTGATTCAGAAAAACGGAACTACTCCTCTTTTTTCCTTCATTTTGAACTTTAATTAATTTCATTATAGATAAACATATAAAATTGATAAAATATTTATGAAAATTAATTTCATGGCCTATATAGATAAAGATAAAAATTAAAATTAAATAATTGATTTAAATAAAATAATTTCATGAGTTATAGATAGAGATTTGAATTTTAAAGTTCCTCCCCATATATAAACATATAAAAACCGATAAATAATTTATAAAAATTAATTCCACATCCTACAAACAAAAATAAAGATTCAATAATTGATTTAAAAAGCAAAAGTACTCATTTTTTCCCTTCATTTTGAACTTTAATTAATTTCATGGCATGTAAATAAAAATTAAATACTTAATTTTAAAAAACGAAACTATTCTCCTCTTTTTCCCTTCATTTATAAATTGTTATTCTTAAGTCTTAATTATCCGATATTTACTCTCTCTTCCTCAAAATTCACAGTTCCCAATCTACTCTCCTCATCTTTTGTAAAGATTAGTTGTGACGTCCCAAAAATCAGGAAGATCAAAGAATATATTAACAAATAAATATAAGGTTTATCTAACGTTACAAGAGTAGAAAACATCACTAATGAGTCATTTGGCTAATAACCAAGAAAAATCCTAATAAAGTAAGAGAAGTCAATATAACCCTCTTCTAAGTCCAACCACCTTAAATAGCAAAGCTACCTTTTTGACAAATCTTAACAAGATATTAACACAAGGACTACATGAGTTAACGAAGTATAAGGATAGGTTACAAATGATATATATAATAATTACAAATCATGTCTTAAATACTACAAGCGAATAATCGCTTACAATCTCAAAACGTGTTTACAAAACTAGTTCCTAACTCTCATAGGGTAACCATACGTCTTCAAATACTTCAACTTTGGTTTTGACCGGTTTAATATTCTTCAATATCTGTCATGAAACGCCATGAGCTTTGAATGCCCAATAAACGCACACACACCCCATCTCTTTTTCCCAATCTAATACACCATCACAATTATAACAAGCAAGTAATGAAGCATGACAATCATTCAATAATAAAGGATTATAAGGTTAGATGTTAGTAATTTAGAAATCCCGAAAGAGATTTCATCCTTCCAACCGTAAGAATTGGGCACCGGACTATTTGGAACTCCCCATTTTGTGCTTTGCAGACCTTACCAGAGATGCCTGCAACGGTTACATACCGCGCAGCGCCATCGGTGGACCTCAAAAGGGACGGGG